CCTCAGACATACATTCATATAAACTCCTACCCCTAAATGAATCGCGATTTGTTTAGCATCTCAACCGATTTGAATCGTCACATATTTGAATCGATTTTCAACCGGCTCGCAGTTAATCGTTACATCCATAGTACACACTCTTATTTTTTAGGTTCAAACTATGATTGCATCCATTCAGAGCCATTTGTTGTGCTTCTCCTAGCAATCATAGCGGTCTCAGTTCAAAGTGATTAAAATCGATTAATTGATATTGTCAACCCAGCATTACATAGAGCACATCAATTATAGCAAACTGAAGCTCAAACATGCTTAAATGACGTGTGAGAACAAACCTCATTGCAATGCAGATGTTTAAGATTCACAAAATGAGGGTAAGTAAATCATGACAGAATTTTCATTTTTGGGTGAACTATCCCTTCAGTTATGAAAGCCTGTTTCTCACTTTTTTTCTGAAATTCTGACTTTTGTCTCTGAATTGTGACATAAACTTGAAATTGTGACCTATAAAGTCAGAATTGTGTGATAGTAGCTCACTATTCTGAGAAATAATGTCAGAATAACGAAATATATATTTGCAATTGTGAGATAAAAAGTCGTAATTGTGAGATTTCTGTGAGTTATAAAGTCAGAATTGAGATATAACCTTGCAATTGTAAACAAGTTCAGTCTTTTTTGTCAGAATTAGACAATTGCGAGTCTACATTTCACAATTCTGAGAACTGCAAGTTACAAAGTCAGAATTGCGAGATTATATTTTGTACTTCTGACTTTATTTCTTGCAATTGGAAGTTTATATCATGCAATTCTGACTTTGTAACTCACAACTGCGAGTTTGAATCATGTAATTCTAGGAAAAAAATATTTAATGTAATGTAAACTCACAATTGTGAGGAAAAAAAGTCAGAATTGTGAAAAAGTCACAATGATCTTTTTTTTTTTTTAAATAACTGAAGCTCAAACATGCTTAAATGACGTGTGAGAACAAACCTCATTGCAATGCAGATGTTTAAGATTCACAAAATGAGGGTAAGTAAATCATGACAGAATTTTCATTTTTGGGTGAACTATCCCTTCAGTTATGAAAGCCTGTTTCTCACTTTTTTTCTGAAATTCTGACTTTTGTCTCTGAATTGTGACATAAACTTGAAATTGTGACCTATAAAGTCAGAATTGTGTGATAGTAGCTCACTATTCTGAGAAATAATGTCAGAATAACGAAATATATATTTGCAATTGTGAGAAAAAAAGTCGTAATTGTGAGATTTCTGTGAGTTATAAAGTCAGAATTGAGATATAACCTTGCAATTGTAAACAAGTTCAGTCTTTTTTGTCAGAATTAGACAATTGCGAGTCTACATTTCACAATTCTGAGAACTGCGAGTTACAAAGTCAGAATTGTGAGATTATATTTTGTACTTCTGACTTTATTTCTTGCAATTGGAAGTTTATATCATGCAATTCTGACTTTGTAACTCACAACTGCGAGTTTGAATCATGTAATTCTAGGAAAAAAATATTTAATGTAATGTAAACTCGCAATTGTGAGGAAAAAAAGTCAGAATTGTGAAAAAGTCACAATGATCTTTTTTTTTTTTTAAATGTATTCAGTTGTGCAAATGGGCTTCCATAATTTAGCGTTTGTTGCTAGAAAACAAACAAAAAGCAGGGTTGTAGATTTTACTCGGGCATGTTGCAAATGTTGCAATGACAGTACAGTTTATCATGTGACCCACCTTAACGGTTTCATAATTGAGGAGAGAATCGATAGCAGCGTTTCCAGCCTCATTATCAGCCTTATTCATCTGGATCCTGAACCGCGTCCTGATCAGAGACACAGACGGTGATTAATACAGCAGTGATCAATGCAACAGACAATGACTGCTCTCTGACAGATGCATACAGTACCTCCACTGCGTAACAGCGATGGTGAAAGCGGTGTACGCCGAGAGCGTCCCCACAGTGACCAGAGCAAACTGACCGCCACATTTATAATACTGCAGAGAAACAACAAAACAGCTGTGAGGAACTGAAAGAGCGACACGTCTTCATATACATGGTGTGGACTGAGTCTCCAGAGATGAGATGTATCATCTATCCTCATAATCCACACTCATATTCATTTTACCTTGCATTTTCACCATTTCACCAGCTAATGGAGTGTGACAAATGGAGAAATATGCTGTTAGAGTTAATGTTTCTGCCATCACTAAAGGATTCGGATTAATCAACCTGTGGAGGTGAATATTAGACACATAAAAGAAACCACAATACAAGACTATTAATACAAGTCAAGTATTAACATCTCATGTGAGCACATGTGACTGAGGGAAGGGTCTCTGATTACATACTGTACATGTGAGCTGAACTTTGGATGTGTGTGTTTCTCATGATCTGTGTGTGATGTGAGGAATACTGCAGATGTCCGGTCAAATCTGGATTCTGTATGGGCTCACCTGCGTCTCAAGTGAACACTTTATTGATTATTAGCGAATAAATAACTTCTAACGCACTAATACTTACACCATGTTACATCATGTGACTTCAGGAGATTTCAGCTCATTCTTGCAAAAGCGCCACATGCATTAGCATAAGTGTTAATGATGTGCTATACTCAAGAGCGTCACTTTACTAACGATGTCTCACATTAGCCTTGGGGAATAAAGAATGACTTTTATTCCATATATTCACTGCTATGCAATGATCCCTCTAAGTTGTGAGCGCAGCCGTGCACTTCTTCCGCCGCGACCGTGCAGAAGAAATAAAATGCAGCGCACACACAAAAATGAGTTGGGAAAGCCATTTTATTGAATTCTAGTAAATGCAAAATAATTGCAATGCTCGGGCAAACCGCTAAAACAGGTTTTATAGAAAGAGAATGATGTGCACCAAATCAGCTGCTGTAGAAATCGAATACTTTAAAGGTTGCGGACAAAATATCTCAACACGAGAGCCAACACAAACGCAATGACATGTCAGATAAAATGTTTTAATTTGATTAAGTGCTGGTAATAGCAGATGATGGGCACAGAATGGTAACAAAACTTAGAGATATTTACATTTTACAGTCACACACAGGTGTAGTAGTGCGCAAACTCTACTACATAGGGATGTTTTAGATTTTTACTGAAAAAGACTTCACATGTACACATTTTTTGGCAGCCGTGGCCTAATGGATAGAGAGTCGGACTTGTAACCCGAAGGTCGTGGGTTCGAGTCTCAGGTCCGGCAGGGATTGTAGGTGGGGGGAGTGAATAACCAGCGCTCTCTTCCACCCACAATACAGTAAAAAGATGGTGCCACACATGGCAGCCACAGTGCTTTGCTCTTCAGTTGTTTTAGTGTTTTTGTTAGTTTTTCCTGTTTTTTGTTTCTCAAACACGATCAGTTTTACCAGGGATGAACTGCTGAACATTCGGCAGAACACACCACAAAATCTTCTACCGGTTTTTGATTATTCGGATGTTTTGCTGAACATTGTAGTTGGCGGAGCAGAGGCGCTGATCAAACGCTTCAGGACACGCAGACGGGGGAAGCGAGCTGGCACGCTCGTGAAGCTCAGACAGCGCGGATTTCGAACGGCGCTACCTAGCATCCATCTGGCGAATCTCCGAATGACGCCATTCCGGTCAGCGCGCTACATCTGCCGGGCTTCCAGCTGTTCAGAGCAGATCACGACGCAGAATCAACGGGGAAATCGCGTGGCGGCGGGACATGCTTTTACATCAATGAAAGGTGGTGTACAGATGTAACAGCGTTAAAGAATATGTGCTGTCCCGATCTGGAAGCACTTTTCATTAACTGTAAGCCGTTCTATTCGCCGCGAGTTTTGTTCCTTCATTCTCGTGAGTGTTTACATTCCTCCGCAAGCACACGTGAGCTTGGCTTTGCAAAAACTCGCTGATCAGATCACAAAGACAGAACAACAACACCCGGACTCTGTTATAATCATTCTTGGGGACTTTAATAAAGCAAATCTTTCCCGTGAACTGCCAAAATACAGACAGCATGTTACATGTCCCACTAGAGACAGTAATATATTGGACCACTGTTACTCCACAATAAAGAATGCATATCACTCTGTTCCACAGGCAGCTTTGGTCCTCTCTGATCACTGTTTGGTTAATCTTATACCAACCTACAGGCAGAAACCGAAATCAGCTAAACCTGTATTAAGGACTGTAAAGAGGTGGACTAATGAAGCAGAGCAGGATTTACAAGCCTGTTTCGACCTCACTGATTGGAGCGTTTTTGAAGCTGCTGCCACCGATCTGGACGAGCTCACAGAGACTGTAACATCATATATCAGTTTCTGTGAAGACATGTGCATTCCTACCAGGACTCATCTAACTTACAACAACGACAAACCATGGTTCACTGCAAAACTCAGACAGCTCCGTCAGGCCAAAGAAGATGCTCACAGGAAGGGGAATAATGTCTTGTATAAACAGGCTAAATACACACTGGAAAAGGAGATCAGAGTGGCAAAGAGGAATTATTCAGAAAAAATAAGAACTCAGTTCACTTCCAGCGACTCGGCATCACTGCGGAAAAGTCTAAAAGAAACCACCAATAACAA